ATGGGAGATGCTAATATTGAATTAGCTTAACGATTACTTAAAAAGGCAAAGGAACCAAACGTTCTTCAAGCACTTGTAGAAATAGAAAATCTTCACAGGCGAAACGCTCAAAGATGGATTCGTTTAGATGCAGCACACTTAGATGATTTCCCAATTCTAACAATTGACCACTTGAAGGATCTCACTTTTGGTACGTATCAAATAAAACTATCTCCTTTATATGTGCAAGATAAGTTACGTAAAGATGATGATGAAGAATACCAAATTGAGATGTTACAAGAAGACCGACTACCTTGGCCAAGTTTGATGAGAGTTAGAATATATTCTAGATTTCGTAACGTGACAAAACATCAACTTTGGATAGCATATCAATCAATTCTCGAAGAAAGAGAAAATGACCAAATGGAAGAGGAGGATAGCTAATCCGATAGAAGGCCATTATTGTACTTGCAAATTTGGCGCTCGAACTGTCGGCACCTGTGCACATATTGCCTGTGTCATATGGTACATAGGATATGCAAGACATTAGGAAAATATTCACTATTCTTCTGCAAGACTCATTCAGAGTGTGCAAGATGCTAGAAATCGTCCACAAGAATTGTATAACCGAAGACAAAATCCCTCAGGATATCGATTGCATCACTTCTTGTAGGAACTCACTAATGGTTTGACACACAACCCTCGGTCTTGCCTTAGCTGGCTGGTTCGCATGTTCAATATTTATTTATTACATATATATATGTAAAAATCGATTTTTATTTATTTCGTGAATATCAATGTATCATTTATACTTACTTACGTCTTACATACGTCTTACTACTGCGGATGACCATATTTCACTACTTTGACCCTTTATATCTTGGGAAATATTGACTTTTGGGACTTGGTGCAATGATAACTTTTTATCAGCATAGCAAAAACTATAACATAGTGAAATTTCAGCCAATTTGACCGAAAACCATTTTCCATAAGTTTTGTGCGGGGTCCTTTAGAAAATAATTTATTTGTATTTTACTTACTTTTAAAACAAGTAAATATTTTTTAAATATATTTTTTACATACTTTTTACATTTAAAAGGATGTATTCTCTTCTTTTAAATAAGTCATATGTTTTCGTACATGGATGTACCATATGTATACAATACGAAGCGTTCTTTAGTCAAAGTGACAGTGTTGCAGTAAGTAACGTGAACGACTCAAGAACCAGAAGACTCAGATTCGAATCTCAGCAATGCAGCAGAGAAGCTTGCAGCAACATTGCTACAACGTTGCAAGATTGCATATTGCAGTGCAATGTTGCAGAGATATTGCAGTGATATCAATTTGCAATATTTCAAAAATATTACAAATATAATATAATATTTTTTACTTATTTATTAGTTATTTTTGTTATTTGTATTTCAAATTCAGTGATGTTTCACATCGATAGTACCTATAGAACAGTACTTGTTAGTGGCAGTCATTTATACTAGAACACCATAAGGATACATTATATGAGCATAAATTGTAAAAACATTGTTGGAGTCATTAGAGACCGCGTGCACGCTCGATCGTCAGGTTAAGCAACAGTTTAACGCAGTTAGGACATGGATAGGGTGCCGGTGGTATATTGCTTGGGATCCAAATTATCGCTGGAAGATTCACAAAAGTTTGTGTTAACAACCTTCGATATCTAGTTATTTATGAGACATGAGAAAATTAGGAATATATCCCACACAGCACGTAATATTGCAGAAAAATTGTAGTGATATTGCAATATAGTGGTAATATTACATATCACAGTGAAATATTACAGAAATATTACTGAAATATTGCACCTTTACATATGTTATTGAAATATTACAGAAATATTACTGCAGTATTACATACTTATATCATTGAAATATTATACATTTATATCATTGAAATATTACACTTATATATTTGCAATATTATAGTTAAATTATAGCAATATATCATATTCTAAATAGAATGGTGACATCAATTGCATATCAATTTTTTTGACATTATAGACATTATTAAAACGTTATTAAGACGTCATTTGAAGTCACTTTTCCTTATAGAAATAGTATTTTTTAAAAGTTTCTTTTAAAATTTAGTATTTCGATTTGTTTAATTTGGATTTTCTTGGATTTTTTAATTTTTTTTTGTTTGGATTAATCATTATAACATTTTGTTAAAAATTTAAAAGTAATTATCACTACATTACATCAATATTTATCGAATATTGTTGCATTGCTTCAATATCTATCAGCAAATTCCCTTATAAAAATATCATACTAAAAATCATTGATAATTACTTATTTTTAGTATTACTTATTTTTAGTATTAAAAATACTGGATAATAAGTACTGGATAATTATCAATGATTCTTAGTACGATATTTCTATAAGGTTTATCCAACAAACACTAAGTAAAAATTATATAACTATTATTTGATGTTTGCTAAGTATATTATAATATACTGTGAACACTATAAGAATACATTATATAAGCATGAATTGTAAGAATATCGTTGGAGTCATCAAAGTCACCGCGTGCGCGCTCGATCGTCAGGTTAAGCAACAGTTTAATGCGGTCAGAGGACATGGATGGGTGATGACCAGTGGTGTACTGCTTGGGATCGAAATTATTGCTGGAAAGTTTCACGAAAGTTTGGAGTATATTTGACAACCTTCGATACGTAGTAGTTTATGAAACATCCCCTATAGAAATATCATACTAAGAATCATTGATTAATTACTTATTTTCAGTATTAAAAGTACAATATTTAGTAATATTCTGTGATTCAAATACAGCTTTTAGTACTCAAGTATTTCAATATTTAATGTTACAAATCATACCTTATGATTGATTTCAATACTTAAATATTGATATGCAAAACTTCGTCCAGTGATAAAATACTTACGCAGAACATTGTCAATATTTAAATACTAATATATAATACTTTGCTAAGTGATGAAATACTTACACAAAGTACTGTTAAGATTAAAAGTATTAACCCAGACAGCATACAATATTAATAAGTTATTAGATAAATATTTATAAATATTTATTTCGAATTACTTTTTTAAAATGTTATATATATATATATATATATA